CTCGGAGTAATGCATGAGAATCCGAGAGTGGAGTCCAAAATCTTGGTAGAAGTTATTGGGTCTTGGGAAAAGTCAATCCAGCGCCGAAAGGGGCTGTTTGACCTAAACTGCAAGTAAGTGAATATCGTCTGCTAGCACATACTGAATCAATGCTTATTCAGGGGTACACAGCTACGTTGATCCAATGTTCAGCAAGATCGAGCTGCTCCCCAGCGACAAAGCTCTGATGGCGAAGAATCAACAAAAATCCCAAGGTATCCTAACACCTCATTTCCAGCTTCTTCAGTTCTTTGAAAGTCATTTTGCTGCTGTTCGGCTTGCAAACTTCCAGGTCAAGTCACTTTTCGGCCGTCTTGTTGATAAAACAAGTGTGGGACTATTGCACGCCAGTGGTCACCCCCTGGCCAGGGAACTACATTTTCGTATTGTCTTGTTCGGTCTAAGGGTATTGAAGGACTCCCGGTTACCAGACCGAAATCTTGAGTGGAAGCTTAAGGACCAGATTTTGTCCGCCGCTTTAACTTGGTTTAGACATCCACCGAAGTACGTTTTATCTGGTTACTACTTTCGATTATTCATGCTAAGCCTGATGATGTGTAGGTGGTCTTTCGGTGGCAACCGGTTACAGATCAAGGCCGAGGACAGGATCCTTGGCGACGTTTCTTCCGCTCTAGCGGATGTGGCTGGCGTTACTGGTCACAGTCGCAGCTCCTCTAGGACGCTTCAGGCAAGACAGGAGCTTCTCCAGATCCTTCTGGAGGACGAAAGGTCACGCCTTAGGGTCTGGCTTTATCCCTTGGAGCCAGACCGGAAACATAACATGGCACAGTCAGCCGCAGTCAGAACTTTTACAGAGGTATGTTATCTCGTCAATAAGCATACTGTTCGATACCCGTGATATATATGGTTGTAACTAACAACCCATGCAGGATGCAACAAATCTGCTACGTCTGGCGTGGTCCGAAGCCCCAGGGTTGGCCATACATCTTTCCACCCGCTTTCCGTCTTTAAAGCTGAAAAACGACATCCGGTGGTTGGTGCTCAACTTTCCGGACAAGGCTATCGATGAGCCAAGTGCTCTTGAGGTCATTTTTGGGTCTGCTCTTCCTGCCGATGTCCATAGTCAGCTGAAGGTATGTCAATCGTCGTTTATATATTCTAGATTTTGGACTGATGAGGGTAGTTTCTTCTATACTGGGCCCCTGTCAACCCCGCCGAAGCTCTGACTTACTTTCTGCCCACCTACGGGAACCATCCCTTCATACTGCAGTATGCGATGAAAGCCCTCGAGAGTCATTCAGTCGATGTTCGTTTCTACTTTGTGCCACAACTGGTCCAAGCTTTACGATACGATGCACTGGGCTACGTAGAAAGATATATCATGGAGACAGCTAAGTTGTCTCAGCTGTTTGCGCATCAAGTCATATGGAATATGAAAGCCAACTCCTACAAAGATGAAGATTCTCAAATTGTGAGTGTAACCGAATGTTATCTGTCCATATACTTTTTAACGAGCAACATTAGCCGGACCCTCTCAAGCCAACACTGGACAAGTTTATGGATGCTTTGATCTCAAGCTTCACAGATGAGGAACGTGAGTTTTATGAGAAAGAATTTTCTTTTTTCAATGAAATCACGGGCATCTCCGGAAAGCTTCGACCCTACATCAAAAGAAGCAAGGCGGAGAAAAAGGAGAAGATCGAAGAAGAACTCCGTAAGATCAAGGTGGAAGTCGGCGTATACCTCCCAAGCAATCCCGACGGTGTTGTTGTAGGGATCGATCGCAAATCCGGCAAACCTCTCCAGAGCCATGCAAAGGCGCCCTACATGGCGACGTTCAGGATCCAGAAAACAAGGGCACGGTCAGATGATGACAAAATCACCCAAAAAGCCGGTGATGGACGATCTTCAAATGGGGTTCAGGAGACCTATGAAGTATGGCAGTCAGCCATTTTCAAGGTCGGTGATGACTGCCGCCAAGACATGCTAGCTTTGCAAATGATTGCTGCTTTTCGGGGCATATTCGCTAGCGTTGGGCTTGATGTTTGGGTGTTCCCATATCGAGTTACTTCAACGGCCCCCGGTTGTGGCGTTATTGATGTGCTTCCGAATTCGATCTCTCGCGATATGCTGGGCCGTGAGGCAGTCAATGGTCTGTATGACTACTTTATTTCCAAGTATGGAGGGGAGGAATCAATCCGATTCCAGGAAGCACGCACAAACTTCGTCAAGAGCATGGCTGCTTATTCTGTTATCTCCTATCTCCTACAGTTCAAGGATCGGCATAACGGGAACATCATGGTTGACGACGCTGGCCACATCATCCATATTGACTTTGGGTTCTGTTTCGATATTGCACCAGGAGGTGTGCGATTCGAGCGTGCCCCCTTCAAGTTGACATCTGAGATGGTTGCTGTGATGAGCGGTACTCACCATGCACACACCCATCCAGGTAGCGGCTCAGGTAGTGGGCTCGGTCTCCCCGGTGGTGGTTCCCATAGCCCTACAAGCACGCAGCCTTACAAGTGGTTTGAATCACTGGTCGTTAAGGCATTCCTTGCTTCGCGTCCGTACAGTTCCAAGCTGTCTCACATCGTCTCATTAATGCTTGACAGCGGTCTTCCCTGCTTCAAGCCGGATACGTTGAAGAACTTCCGCGATCGATTTGTACTCGATAAAACCGAGAGGGAAGCTGCTGAGTATATGCGCGAGCTCGTCCGCAAGTCGTACATGAGTGTTTCGACAAAGGGATATGACCAATTTCAGCTTCTAACCAATGGCATTCCCTATTAGGCCTCATGAGCTCTTTCTATACAGGGAACGCGGCGGGTGGGAGGTCCTGCTTTCCTGCCACAGCCCTCCCTTGCCTTTTTTGTTCGTTCCGCTTGGCTTTCATGCTACTCTTGGGGTATCTGCTATTCATATAGATGGAGTCGATCATCCAACTCCTCATCAATGCAACCATTCCCATTGCAATTACTTCTCTTTTCAGTTAGGAACAGACGAGTGTCCAATCGAGGAGCAAGGATATATCAACACCCCTTATCCCTAACACTCTTTGTGGTATGCTTTCAGGTGAAGGGCAAAGCCCGAGTGGTGGCTCATCATCTCCCCGGAAATCAATAGTGACATCTGTGACCCATTCATTGGTTTACTTTGAGCTTTTAGATTACCTGCAATTCGATTTGCGAATACTTAATAGCCTAGGCCGAAAAATGCATATATGATGCCGTCCGGCACACATTATACAAGCAGTTATCTCTCATAAGAATCCTCGGTCTCGCAGTAGGCAGATGAATGTATGTATAGTATACACTTACCAGATCTTGCCTGCTATCTATGCATTCAACGTATGCATGATCATGATCGACTCGGAATTCCCCCTCCAGTCAAAAATAGATCAGGTTACTCACAGTAACTGATAGGTGGGTAGTCAGGCTCATATGGGAGCGCGTTCCCTCACAATCCTTTTCCACTTCCCTGGAGTTTCTTAAAGGGCGATATCAGTGATCATTCGCTGTAGCCAACTAGATGCTTCACCAAATCCTCTTTCCACCTTACCTACCCTGTCGTCTACCAACGTGGATTCTATTTCCGGTCTTTATGGCCTCCCTCCCCGTTCTTCCTCCCTTTTGGGATATGGGTAGTACTGGCTACTGATCTAATCTGGGCTCCCGATGGGCTGGCAATATATATATATATAGTACTAGTCTAGCGGACGATGCACTAGGCGACCCAACAACCGAGTGGTCGTGCATCAACTATGTATGTACTACGGTTAACTAGCACCTGGAGTCATAGAATTTTTTGAAGTTCACGGCATTTTCTGTGTAATTAGATATTCACAATGTCCAACCGGAAGAAATCCTACTATGATGGAATTGGGTGTCTCATTCCACTAACCTCATCATGTATTTGTTCCCTTTCCATTGAATGGTCTTGAGCCACACCGACCTTGAGTCTATATAACAACATTCAAACATGAATGCTTAAGATGTGAATAATAAGCATGTCATGGGCTGGGAGGGGGAAGGGAAGAAGGGAACGGAAGAAAGGAAATAAAGAAAAAGAAAAAAAAATGATATTCTCTTTTGTCCCCAGGGAGGATCGAACTCCCGGCCTTGGGATTTCCTGAAGGTTGAAGCCTTCAAGTCATACACTTGCTCGTATGAGACCCACGTGATAACCACTACACCATGGAGACATGTGCTGATGAAAACCTGAAAAAAATAGTGCTACATAAGCCTAAATATCATGCGTTTAATGTCGGTGAGAGTGATATAAGTGCTGCTGCACTAGCAGTCGCGGAAAGTTGCATATACACGGGTATCAACAAATAGTATCATATACTGTTGTTATATAATTCAGGCACTTAGACTCCTCTTTTAGGTTCAGATACACCCAGAACATGAATCAGATTCAAAATAACGGACAGTATCACATAGCAGGCAATTTGAGGGGCCCGAGGATAATAATCATAAGTGGGTCTGACCAGCAGGACCCAGAATAAATCAAATCATAAATGGAGAGAATATGATGAAATCATCCGCACGCGAACGGAATCCCCGAAAACTGATGCAGAGACAAGAAAATTCACGTAAATATGCGTGCTAAAGGAAATACTTGTTAGAGTTTGTAGATCATGTCAACATCCATGCGACAGTAGGGAAATCCTTCCTGTCAAGTGACTGAGCAATCCATGAGATAGCCGCCGCGATGGGGCTGTCCAAATCAACGGTTTGTTCTTTTCTTCTTCTCTCTCTTTCTTTCTCTCCACTCCCCCCACCCCCATCAAGATCTCGCTTCTGATTTTTATTTTTCTGGTCTTGTGAGAAACCTCACAGCTTTTCGGTGCACTTCCCAGAGAGGGGAGGACAAGGAAGAACTGAAACCAGACGCACAAAGCAAAGACGACATACAATAAGGGAAAGAAGGAGAGAAATGACAAATAAAAAAGCGGGTAAGCAAAGATGTTAGAATCAGAAAACGAGCCCTCAGCCTTAGTCCATGAAATCACCCCGAAGGATCTTTTCCTGGAAGAAATCAGGCTTATTCTGCTTGGGCTGTTTTGGCATTTCTCGAGCTGGTTGTTCCATCGAGGCAATTGACGCAGCCCGCTGATGGTGATTCTGGTGACCCATATTGACTGCATGCTGACTTTGAGGTGAATTAGGCGACATAACGCCCAAAGATGGCGCTCGCTCGGCCCGAGTCCGCAAGGCCTCAGACCAATTGAAGCCTTCGCCTACTTGTCGCCAAGACGCGTTAGACCTATCGTTCTGGGGAAAGGCTTTGTATGTACTTGCAACAGTTGAGTTTGTAGGGCTGGGGGCAGAGGGTGTGCTGGTCAACGACGAATTGCGCCGCCCTCCAGCCACCTGAGATGCAGATGAGGGATATCTACCATTACCAATGCTTCCTCCACGGGCATCACGCAATGCCTGTGCACCAAAGGAGAGACGTCGAGTGAATGGAGAGCTAGGGGTGGCGTTGGGAGGCCCGTTCTCGTTGTCTTCCACAACGGCTTCCTCTAGGTTTGCCGAATTGGATCCCACGGAACTAGAGATACTCCCATGACGGATGTGTCGAGGTCCAAAGGGAGAAGTTTGGGTTGGAGAGCCGGAGAGTCCCAATGTGGTTATCGACAGTCGTCGTCCCTGATTCGGCTGACTGCCAGCGACTGCATTGGCCATGGAGCCAGGTGGTGCACCGGCAGCTCCTTGGCTCCCAGATCTTGAAAGATAATCCGAAAAGGAAATTCCGGATGCCAGAGATGCTCGACGCTGGCGCGATGATGGGGTTGGAACCGAAATGGGAGATGTTGAACGGTCGTTTGACATGGTAACAGATGGGTTGTCGATGATCCCAGGATGATTATCACAAGTACAAGCACACGTATAGAAGGAAAAGTAGATGGACGAGGACAGGTAGCCAAGTATAAGGCGAGAAAAGAAAATATCTAGTCTCCCCAGACAAGGGTACAACTAGGTGGAATGGGTAATAGATGTACCGAAACTAGAGTTACTATGAAGAAGAGTAGACTGGAATTGGAATGAGATATTGATGAGCCTTCAGATCGATACCGCAAGTTATGACGTCAATCTGGTAGCCGCTTCGATAGGGAGAGCAACGGCAGAGGCAGCAGAACAACCCCCATTAAGAGCCTAGATGGAGGTACCGGCGAATGTCAGCTAGAGGGAGATATTCAGCGAAGAACCCATAAATGGGACCTTCCATGTGGCGGTGGCAATATAATAAAGTGGAAATGGTTGAGGGGGCATCTTATCACATAGGAACCGCGTACGAGCAGCAAAAGGAACAGAGAACCAAGAAAACTAGCGTTTGAGTGCAATAGGACACTACACAAGGGAGGATGCAAGTGAAGGGAGTCCAGACTCAGTGCTAGTAGGGAACAAATAATAGATTGAACTACCGGTTTGTTATGAGCTAAGCCAACTTACTGGAGATATGCAACACCCAATGCCCCCCAATACCTGATATAGATGATGGTAGTGGTAAGGTGGGTAGTAAGCTAGAACTGAGAGGAATGTTTGTATTTGGTGTCTCTTGGATCAGATGATGGAGGGGAAGCTTCGTGAAGGAATGATTTGAAGGGGAGTGGTTGAAGTCAGTAAGCTTTAGAGTAGCCGTGGCTCGTGAAGAAGTGAAGAAGTGAGGAAGAGGGAGAAAGGGAAGAGAAAAGAAAAGAGAAAGAAAGGAAAAGGAGCCAGGCCGTAGCCGGCAGGGATCTTGGGAAGAACAACCTGACAAACGGTTGGTGATGAGGAAGGGGAGGAAGAAGAGGAGGAGGAGGAGGAGGAACGGGATGATTCCAGTGGGAAGGGGAGGGGAGGGGGGAAAGATTAAGGGAGAGGGATGGGACCTTTAACAACAAGCCGGGGATGGGAAAGGAAAGGAATGAAAGCTTGGGAAGTTTTACCCCACAAAACCGTCTCGATTGACTCTTGACCGTGGGCCAGAACGGGTCTAGCCTTCTTGGGCAGGGTGCAGCTGAACGGTGAACCAGACAAGACGATCCGGGGTCGATGATTCATGAGTCGCCCCGTCCATAATCCTAGTAGACTAATTTGTAGACTAGCAATTGGAGTAGCTCCTACCTAACGTTGTACCAGTGGTCTGTTCTCTTCACAGTCGACGATCCTCTCGCCTTGCCCATAGATGAAGCTAGAGAGGAAGTAGAAGAAGAAGAAGGTTACTATCACCTAGCACTGTTTTGGATATTGTTTTATTAACTCAAGTAGGCAAGGGTAGGAAGGATGCGGCATGTTTGGTATGCATGGTATGCCAAAAGTAAATACCTTACTTACTCCGTACTATTGTTCCTTCGAAATATATCATGTAAACCGGTATGTTACGTAAGGGTATAACTCTGCATGTTCGAAGCGCGTATGTATGATAATACGGTATCCTTCCACTGATGTACGGATAGTTATTTGTATGATTAGTCTCTATATCCATTGCTTGTCCTCTCGATAAACAGTCTGCACTTCACTAGTGCCTTCCGTTACTGACCACGAAGCCTTTTGGGTTTCACCTACTCTTTTGTGGAAGTCACTATACTTATGTATATATTGATCTTCTTGTTCTGCGTTTATCAGAGCTGTGTCCGGAAATGCTGCCTACATATATGTACATATATAGATATATTGAGCTAGAAAGAATACCAATAGTTATATACCATGTGTCAAATCTGTACACGTTTTTCCTGCTTCCTTTCCTATATTCCAGACCATGTCTGTTTTTTTTTTTTTTTTTATTCTTCGTTTTTTTTTTTAAATGAAGTATAGCTTTCTATATAGTATGGCGTAGATAAGGTACGTATACTGTCTTACCTCGGCCACGGTGATTGAGGAGTTGTTCGTATACCTCTGGTCTTTGGCCAGTCCTCAGGATGTGTGTTTCCCTATCCGGAAATCAGAGGGCGTGTGGCCCTAAATGCAGACATACTCCGGGTGAAGCATGTCCACTTTCGACACACTCCCAGTGAGATGGGAAAGGTCCCTCGGGGCAGTACCAACTCAGGCTGCAACAGTATGGCGCCGGACGATTCGTTTTTCAGCATCCCAAACCATCTGTTCTCCCCTTTTCTCCCACTCTGTCCCTTTCTCTTCGCCTATGCATGTTCAAGTCTTCCTCGCGGTGTTCACATTCCTTCTCACGTTTTTTTCTGAAGGATATGCATTGCGTCCTAGTCTTGAGGCTGAGAGTGGAATAACTGCAAAAGTTTCCACCCCACCTCCGGCTCGATCTCCGTACCGTCGCGAGCGATCTTCACTTCTCGGTTCGAGTTCCAGGGATTCCGCAACCCTCTCGTACGATGAAAAGGGACTCGTGTAGTCGAGAGCCATCGGATCCTGAACGGCTTCCCAATCAATTGTGCCCCCGTATCTGTAGCTTCTTCCGGTTTTTCGTGAATAACCTTCTCCTTCTCCTTCTCCTTGCTCGTACCGCTCTCATCCTCTGAGGTTTCCGCCTCCCAGAATATGGTCCCCCGCGCAGAGTCATTGATTATTCGTCCGTTAGGCGCAGTGGATGTTGCTGGAGTGGGCGTCACGTCTAGAGTCTCGGGATCCGGGGGGTTGTCCAACCGCGAGGGCATCTCCAACGCCAAGTTCTCGTCATCTTGTATCGGCGACATCATACGGGCATATCCATAATATTCACCTGACTTATTGGCGGAAAAGATGAGATAGACATCATCAGCATTCTGGTTGAGTTGTCAGCGACCGATCATTCTCCCCTACTGATATGGATATAATAGGTGGGGGCACAGAGCTCACCTCGTAAGCTTCGTTTAGCTGCTTCTCATTATGAGTTTGAGTGGCCCAGATGTTGTTCTGTCGACTGAGTTCGAGATCATCAACAGTTAAACTTTTGACTATGAAGTATCTGCTAGGGACTCGACTGTGCGAAAGGCTACCTTCTGTAGCCTTGTTCTCAGTCACAGCGTCCGATAACTTGGTTTCTTCATCCTGATATATAGCAGGGGTAGAAGAACCCATAGCTTCAGCATTAGACCCCAGAGGAACAGCCCCCTGGCGTAGCCGACATACAAGACGTGCTCCATGGAATCTAGAATCGTTGAACCTTGACAATGCCGCGGCACAGGCGGCCTCCGTTTTGTAATTGATAAAAGCGCAGTTACTCTTCGAGATGAGGAAGACGCTTTCCAGTTCCTTTGTGGCGTCCTGAGAAAAGTAGTCCTTCAAGTCAACGATATTGGTACCGGGAGGAAGATTGCCGACCCACAGTGCATGCCCAGATTGCTTTGGCTTTCGCGGCGGTCCTCTTGGAGCACTTGACGTAGTGGTATTAGACGAATGCGATCCTGAGTCTGGTGCACCGCAGTCATGTCAAAAACACATAACTCGCTTCTCGCATGGTCAGGCCCAGACTTACCAGCAGAAAATGTTTGAACAGGGTGGGGCCTCATAGGTGTTGATCCGTCCACGATGGTCTTTGAGACGTCATATTCCAGATCCAGACGCCGTTGCCTGTTTTCTTTCCCCAAGCCGGATGCCAATTTAGTTTTTGGACCCGATGTGTTCCGAGGCTGAACGCGTGGTTGCACTTGCACTGGAGATGATGTAGTCGGAGGTCCCGGGCCGTGTCCAAGGGCTGCCGTGTATGCGGTCTGGGTGTAATAGTTCGGTCCATATCCAGATTGGCCAGGTATATGGACATTCATGTGAGCGGCTGAATGGGGCCCCAAGGACTGATAGCCCGCCGCACCAGGAGGCAGAAGAGGGTCCTCAGGTTGCTGCTGAAGATAAGGCGTGTATACCTGATTGAAGGGACCATTAAAGGCCATATTAGGATTTATTGGCGGTCCTGTGAATGACGGTAATGGCGGCATTGCGTAGACAACGCCATGAGGGTGAGCCGTCGGAACAAAGGGCTGCTGAATATGATGCTGCTCATAAAGGATGGAATGATTCTGATACCCAGGCAACGCGGATCTCATGTCCCGCATGCTAAGAGAGGGCGCTCCTCCATGTGCGGCCTGAGCCATCTGGGCCTGTGTTTTGGGATGTTGTTGTTCATTATCCGATCGAGGAGCTTCGCGGGAAGTGGTAGTTATCGACACTGAGCGAGATTTCAGTTCTACCAAAGATCCCACAGAGTGATTAATCCAGGTAAGATACATACCTGACTGTGGAGGAGGCTCCTCTACTTCATGCGACTTATTGAAGGCCTGTGGTTTGGCTCCGTTCGGACCCCCCTGCGTTGAGTTCGAGAGAGCCGAAGGAGCGTCACCATTAGGATATGTCATGATAGACACAAACAAATGATAAACCCAGCACAGGCACACTCCTCCACATGATTAGTTGAGTCATCTCAAAGATACTGGGGGTGTTCGGAAGCCCAAGGGGGCTGGCGAGGAACTGGGGTGACAACTCACCTAGCCCCAACCTGTGAGTTCAAGCACGCTCTGAAATTTGAGGGCAATGATTCCGCTAGGTACCCAAGTGATTTGCCTAACTTATGCCAACACTGGTTAGAAGCTTGACAGTGCCATGTCAAAGGTAAATTACTTCCACAGAAATTCCAGACAGAGTGCTTTGCAAGTAAAAGGAGGATGAACGAAAATGTCAATAAGCGAGGAAAACTAATAGCCTGAGGCTGCGGTAAGAAGAAAAAAAAAAAAAATAAAAGGGAGAATAAAAGAGAGGGAAAAAGATAAGGGAAAGAAAAAGAAAAGAACAAAATAGAATAAAAGCCACAAACAACAGGAAGGATCAATAAGAGGGTGGAAAAGGTCCCGAAGACTGGGTCGCGTAAGAGGGCATGGATAAGTGGGATTACTGACTTGTACAGACAAGAACGAGATAAAGAAAGACGTGGGATCTACACATGAATCAATAGAACAAAGTGAAGTAGATGAGGAGGATATGTAGAGCGAAGAAAAGAAACAAGTAGACGATTATAGTAGGATGAGCGAGCACACCAAATCACAAGGGAAGGCCCGCCTGACATCTGGGTGCTAAATCGTCGGGTTCTTTTTGGGGGGAAAACGGTGCAGTTGTAAGACTGGGTGAACGAAACACGGTGCCACTTTGTAAAGATGCACGCACGAATCGCCGCGCTGCCTTGAAGAGAGGGTGGAGAACGAGTCAAGCGTGGAAAGGATTATAAATGGGACAATTGGGTATCAGAGGCATAAAAAAAGGGGAGGGGCATAGGCGGCTACGCGCACAGAGGCACGGTGCAGGACCACGACCAGGAAACAATATCCATAGGCCAGGCAAGAATAAGACAGTATAAAATGATGTACGAGGGGGAACAAGATGGTATATAGCAGCGAGTTCCAGGCTCTTTTACGCCACGGAGACCGGAAAACCAGCGTCGCGGCGAAGAGGGACGTAGGGCACAAGCACTGCGCCGTAGTGGCCCTCCTTCACGCCAAAAGACGACAGGCCAATGCTAATTGAAGGAAAATAGGGTATCTGTCCCTCGAGCGCGTATGGCAGCCACCAAAGAAGCCGCTTTCTCCCGCCACCCGACAGTTTCAGAGGTATAGGGAAATTGAAGGACATTGGTGGCAGTTGAGGTGGATGATCACAGGGAATTGTTGGGGGAGAGGCAGTTGATTGCGAAAGAGTGCGTTTCCCTCCCATGGGTGTTGAGCCAGGGGGTGGTTGGGTGAAATTGGAAAGTGAAGGGTAAAGGGAAATGAAACACTAAACAGTCCTGTGGGATCGCAACCGAAAGAAAGGAAAAAGGAACGGAAGAGGAGGGGGAGAGATAAAGACGACTATCGCCAAACATACCTTTGGTTGTGAACAGGCAGGGAGAGCGATGACAGAAATACCGTGCCCCCCACGATGATAACAGAAAGAGGAGCACCCTGCAATCAACAGTTGGTGGCTTTGATGTCGGTGACGGGAGAAATAATCACGATAATAATGAATAATCCTTGTGTAGACGCACCGTAGCCAGACCTGAAGCGGAGACTATGGAGAAGGAGGGCCCTCCAGACCAACCAGGTCAGCAGAGCCCAAGTAGTCCAACGGATCTTCTGACCGTCAGAGCTTGGAAGGGCAGGTCCTTCACAGCCAGGTGGGTAAAGAAGACTATCGGAACGGAAATGAGGGCAATAATGGGCCCCCCTAGGGACGTGTTCGTCAGAACCCAGGCCAGAACCCAGGCCAGGTCTATATTGGTGACTGGCCGGTGGTGGCGCACAGAGGATCGTGAGAGCGTGAAAGCCCAATGATCTGGACTCCTGTCTCTCTGCCTTCCTCCGCCCTTCTCTCTCTTTTCTTTCTTCCCCCCTTTGTGGCTGTGGCTCCCTCCAGCCTAGAGGATATCCACAGTTTAAAAATCGGGGCTGCGATGCGGATCGGGCCTTGCTTCAACGCTTTTAGTTCTTTTCCCATGCAGAGGCCCAATCAACAACCACGCACGATCGACAACAAGCTCGATCCCGATCTTTTCCCGGAAATTCCACCCAGACGCAGGCAAGAACAAATTGTGGTTTGCTCGTACCAGGGGGTCCGATGGGAAGAGAGGTAGCGAAAAAGACGTCGATGAAGTCAAGAAGCCACCAGGAGAAGAGGCTCTCTCGACTATTTCTGTTTTCGCAAATCCTCAAGATTTTGGATGCAAAAGAAGTCAAGCGTTTAAAGGAAGATTGAGGATGAAAAACGTACAATGGAAAACCAGGGGCTAGATGCACAGGGAAAGATAGCACGGGGAAAATCAATAACACAACCACAACTACAAGAAACAATCACAATAATCATAGTAATAGCAATGGCAGCAATTGTAGTGATGAGGAAGTCAGAAAAAACATAAAATAGAATAAATAGACAATAATGCGAATGGAGAGGAGAGCATCCACACAAGCAAAAAAAGAAAAAAAGGAAGGGAAAAAAAAAAGAAAAGGAATACGATGAACAAGATGGAGAGAGAAAGAGAGTATACTCCAATCACACTGAGCGGGAAAATGGCTCACATCAGGAAAAAGGCCGGGAAAGGTGGCATGTTTTCCTAAAAAAACAACGAAACAGCCACATTAATTGAGGAAACGGGGACTGCGTCGTGCTTAGGGTTACCTGGATTAAATCTAAGGTCGTTTGGCAAGAGAGTGAAATGGACGGTCTCGATGGCATCGATGGCTTTTGTGGGAGGCCATGATTGGGTACCGGAATTCTGTCCCCAGCCGGTGGAATCCATGGATCTTCCTCTGACAGTTTAAAAAAGGGATTGCCAGTGATATTGCGAGGACCCAAGGGAACGCAGCCAACCCGCTTTGGTAAGATGAGTAGTAGGTAATGTGTGTAGTAGATGACACTGAAAGGTGGCAAATTCGAGAGGGTCCTGCATGTCCTGGTTCCGAGCGTTTGATGGGCCTTAGCCCGAGGTGCATGCGTGGCAGTGACCATCGGGATTGACAGCTGCAGGAGATTTATAGCTCCAGAAAAAAGTTGATCTACAACGCGACACCATTCGGCAGCATGTGTCTCTTATTTCTTTTTAATTTTTTATTGCTATGTTCTTTTTCATTTTGCTTCTTCATGGTTACAGCTGCCCTTGGGTCTGTGTCGAAGGCGGTCACAAAGAAGACGGACTAGTAGTTCGAAGAATCGGCATTTCTTATTGGATGTTCGGAGAATCCAGGCAGCGTTGAGATGCGTTAACAATCAACTTTATGAGGAAGAGAGAATGGAGAGAAGCGTGTGGCGATTGCAGATTCCAGAAAAGTTACTAGGTAGGCAGGTTGGAGGTCTTCTTCCTTTTACCGAAAAAAAAGATGGCAACAACTAAAAATAATCATAGATAGAGAGGGAAAGAAAAGAAAATGAACGTGAATGAAAAGACCAGATGAGTTTCGGGGGAAGACCGTTTGGGAAAGCGACATGCAATTACTTTGTAGAAAGGGGAAAGAAGTGGGGAGGAGGAAAGGGAGGGGTAGGGTGTGCAGTTTTGGGGAAAAAGAAAGGATGGGAGGAAAAAAAAAAAAAAAAAAGTAGAAGAAGGAAAAAGGTAAAAGGAATCAACAACCACTGGCCCGTGTGCATAGAGACTTCTTCAGATTTGTTGTTCTGCTGTGTTTGGGGGCCGTGGAAGGATAGTAGCAAGAGAGCCACGGCCAGCCCTAAGACCAAACAGACTGGAGAGGGTGGGGAAATAAGAACAAGGCATTGGTGATACTGCGTACCGTGATTGTCGAAGCTCCAGACGGTGTTGGGATGGGTCACTCAAATCCCATCATGGTCCATGGCTCATTGCTATGCGGTATCAAGGATCGGTTCACCTCATAGCTAGTCATTCTGAAAGCTGATAGGAAGGGAAAAGGGGGGAAAGAACAACAGGGAGCGATGATGGAGGCAAAAATTTGATTGGGGGAGTGGTACTGTAAAGACAAGAAAAAAATAAAAAATAAAAAAATAAAAAAATAGAAAATAAAAATAAAAAAAATAAAAAGGAAATTGGTGTTTGTATTCATCTACATTATATATACATATTTTCTTTCTTCTAATGCCTTGGAATAATAGTATATAATAACGAATTCAATGAGATAGTAATCATAATGGATGATGATAGCGAAAGCTAACCTTAGTACAAAATAGTCTGCCACCTGACCAGGCAAGGGTACTACATTCCCACTAGGGCCCGATCTCCATCCCGCCCAGTGAGCATTACCTCCTACTACCTCGTACTGTGTAGAGCGTCAAAACAACCACTCCTGCTGCTCGGCTTTCCGCGGGAGCTGTGGCACGTATGCAGCCCATCCCTGCCACCCACCTCCTTCTTCTTCTTTCATTTCTTTTTCATTTCCTTTTTTTTTTTTTTTTTTTTTTTTTTTTTTTTTTTTTTTTTTTTTTGCTTGTGGCTGCAGGCCCTGTAGGTTATGAAAGCATCTATGAGGATGCGATCAACATGAAGAATTCTTCTGCCTGCATTGTGGCCACAAAGTGGAAGCAGCTTTGGTTCTCTGAATTAGGTATACAATAAAGTATGGCAGTCCCATTTTCCCACACAGATCAGAACAAAGATCACTAGTACTGCGTAAAGATCATGTATCCAATGGAAGTGACAACCCAAGTAATGAAAACTCCGGCACTGTTGCCCTCTATGTAACGTACCAAGTACTCATATTGTTCTTCAGGTATCCTAGGTCAGCTACTCTACTTTTGTCGTCATGGGAAATTGCACTTCTAGTAAGTACCAAGATTCGAGATCCCCTCAATCTATGGTACTAGTACCAAGGACCTTAACCTTGGTTTTCCCGCTGAACTGGTTATACTTTATATATATTAGCCTGTTTCGCTTTCCACCGGCTGCTCCTCGTCGGTTCATTCTCCCGTCGCCTGGAGCTTCTGATCTCCCTTAATCCAATCTTTCCCACTCCCCACCCCTTCTTATGTCTTATTTTCTCTTCTTTTACTCTTCTTATTTTTTTCATTTCGATTCATTCTTTTACTTCCCCCCTTTCCTCTGTAGCCTTCCTTTTACCCGTACCTGAATCCAGCCCCATCCTTCGAAACACAGTCTACTGCCTATTCGGTATCCGGAATCAGTGGCGCCGCATGTACCGGAGTATTTCGTACTAGCAGTGCTTCGGAAGGCTCCACATCTGATTTGAGGGACCGGATGGGATACCAGCCAATCAATGTAACACCACTTCAACTTCATCTCGTCCTTTTCCGGAAACTCCTTGGTCCAATCCGAGCCGCCACCAGCGGCGTGGCTGGGTCCTTCTTAGCATATGTCGCGGTCAGCACCATGGCAAAAACCCCCACTATCGAATACTTTCCCGAGCTCTTTCTCTTTTTTTCTTTTTCTCTCTCTTTTTTTTTCTTCTAGCCCAGGCGCCTCTTCTGCCGGGGCCACTATGTCGGCTTTTTTTTTTTTTTTTTTTTTTTCTCTTTTCTTTCTTTTCTTTCCCCTCCCCTCCTCTCTTTACCTTTTTTAGATTTTCGGGGTTTGATTCGAAACGGTTGTATGAGTCAAACGACCACAACTAGTAGGTAAAGGTCCCAATGATCAAGCCCAGGATGGGAAAATGGACGAGTTTGCTAGGGTGCAGAAGTCTGGCGCAGGACCAATGATAGGTGCAGGAGGCTGCTGACGACAGTGCTCCTAAGGTCACGCTAAGCGGCAGCATTGTTGAAGTGGAGATCGCGCTGCCTTTTGCGACCTGTGACCTGAATTCACTGAAGTCGTTGAAGCCGTTTCACTCTACGTGGTAGAGTTGGAGGGAAGAAGACAGCAAAGCTTCTTTGAACCCCCTTTGGCCCTGCTAGACACTTTCATGCGTTTTCGTACATGGCGTGTCCTTCAATTCCAGCTCCGACCGAGAACCGTTCCTGAGAGGCAAGGAGACTCAAGGGAAGGGACGATCTTCTGTATAGGCTACCTTAGGCTAACTTACCATCCACCAATATCAATACTGGAGCGTGTGCCAAGGGCAACTCTTCCATTATGTTGTTTTCTATAGGTCCTTTGGGATGCCAGTCAACACAAAGCTACTGTCCGATGGGTGACAGACTACTGCTCCCCTGGCCTTGTTAGAATGCCTTAATGGTGCCCAAATGCTTAGTTTTCTATCAAGAGCTGATGTTGGCACCGAAGACCTCTATTCTGTTCCTATGCCTCGGCATCGAGATACAATATCGGTATGCACACCGATAAGTACACAATGTTCACGCTGCTTGATGCGTCATACTATTCGCGTGATTACCGGGTTAGATACTAGTACTAGAAGCCCCCAGACTGGGTACTGTTCCTATTTGATACGTACCACAGGGTATCTCGTCTCGTAACGATTTACACATGATAACCACCTCAATTACTAGATAGGCGTAGTATCGCTAGTATAGAATACTCTTTTTCTAGTAGAGAGAATCCCCAGTTCCAGTGGAAACCACACATTCCCTTCGCCAGCGAATGCCCAGTAATCCATAGTCGACGCCCTTCTGATGTGGGAGATATTCCCGAGAATCGAGCGTTCCAGAACCTCCCCAACAGCCTCAAACATTTCAACAACGGCAAATCAGCAGCCGCCCCTAAATACCTAGCTACTTTGCTACGATTAGCCTCGAGCCTTCAGGGAGAGAAAAGGGCGAAAAAACAGGGCAAACAAAAGGGAATATTAGTCACTAGGAATTTTACTATAGGTTTCACACAGTGTCACCCTTCACTAAGCCATTGGCTCGTTCACTTTAAGCTGTGTAATCACTAAGCATGCTTCTTCGGCCAGCTTTGCAGAGCCATCATGCATGCTCCAGCCAGGTAATGCACCCACCCAGGATGTGAAGGTCCTAATGCCCTCTCCCCATTTTTGGTATTTGATCAGTCTGCTAGAGAAAGGGTTTGAGATACGCAACACAGGGACTGCACCCACTTAGAGTATGCGGATTCTTCATCCGTCTCGGCTATCATTCTGTTCCCGCTATTCGAAGTTGTGAACTGTCACGACTATCACTGCCATAAACCACCAGATAGATGGAACCATTCGGCCCATCCCAGGCCAATTTCGAGCTATGCACTAACTCCTGTTGCATTAGCACGGACCCATTCAATCTCGATGCGGCCCCATTCTGTCGACTGTGCCTGGTACCTTGCTATGGAAGTATGGGTGGTGGATGATGATGCGATGGGTATACAACGGTCTCAACAGTGAGTGTGATTCCTGCACATAATGTACACCGTATGGCATGATCGATCAAACTCCCTCTCAGAAAGGGGGGGTTAAAAGTGGAATGGAATTTGCCACCCAAGAGGAGACAGACAGGTGGAAACCACTCCATCATGGCGGGGATTGACATGGGACTAGCCAAGTGGGTAAATGGATGTGTGTGTGTGTGTGTGTGTGTGTGTGTGTGTGTGTGTGTGTGTGTGTGTGTTTGTGTGCTGCGTGTGTGTGCGCGTAGACTGACTGACTTGAATGCATTATCCAAAAGCACACACCACAAAGGAGCTCTCCTGCTGCCCACCCCCCTGCACGGCTTGCAAACCACGGACCATCCAAACAAGCTCCCCCTCCACCCCAATTCATTTCGTCTTTGCCCCAATTCAGATCTCGAGATCATTCCCGACCAGGTGAGGGGGTTTTGGAATCTCATCGAAGGAAATGATTGACCGCGATCGTCCGTTTCTTTCCACCGCGGCTGCCCTCTTGAACGCCACGCCGAAAGCTAATGAATATGACGTCATCGAATGCTCTTGAATGGGGCCGCGAACACCTCGCATCCTCCAGCCTTCTCGTACCCCCTCCTCTACGGCCTCTGTTGATTCGAGCATTGGGAAAATGAGAAAATGGATGTGGGATCCATACAGCCACGGCGCCGGTACCTCTGTCTGACTATGAATAACCCACCAATTGGTACCGGGAAAAAGACTACACAATCTTACCACGGGACGAACGATCCGCTCATCAATTTCATCGTCGCCCGACTAAATCCATATACATGGCCCTGAATATGCATGACCGCATCCGATCCGAGCCTTAGGATGGAAGGTCTGATTGTGGTACACAGCACACCCAGATCCATCGCTGACTTCTGCCACCAGCATGGATGCCGTCTCCAATTTCGCTAGTATCTGCGTGCACCACCCCATAGCACGAAGTCCCAGGCTGGTCTCCACAAACGGGAAACGCCATCTCGCCAGCTCATCCCCTTTAAGGTATTCGGCGCTGCGGTGGCTTGTGTAGAGCTACTGCGATCGTCCAATGGGGCCGTCGATGGCTCTGTGATTCGCACGAGGGGGGTCAGATAGTGATGCCTGTCGCCGACATCATGCGCGCTTATCAACTCGGCTCGGCGGCGGCATGTGTCCCTTCATCCGCCAGGACCGCCAGACAGGAGGATCATCCTCATCCTGTCGGATACCAGTCACACCGAAGAACACAGGTCAACTACGGTGGCAAAGCACATTGCAGAGGCTGTGCCAGCTGATTACCACCCCCTGTTCAACCAGAATTCCCAATTTACAGATTCGAGTGCGCAGTTTTCTCTCATGGGTAAGGGCTCCACTGCTACTGTGTGTAGTCATGATGCGATAGGTTCTTTCTCAGCCGATGTCTTAGCCTTCGTTTTACGTCGCATAATGTTCTGCTCACCATGTTCTACCGATTTGCCGTGTTTTTGTGCCACTTCATTCTCGATGGCGTTGGATTCGGCCGTCCGGCCTTCCACCCATCCAAAGGACGAGCGCCAATTGGCCTCACCCTCTAAATATGGTGGCCGCATGGCGAAGTCCACCCCGTGCGTGGGATATTGAGAGGCGAGAGGACCGCTCTCCATCTAGTTTCTCATTGGGAGGGTTACTCTCACGTTCCTTACGAGCCATGGTCAATGACGGGCACGCTGCGAACTTTCTTCTACAAGCCTGACGGAGATTAGATCTTGGCTACTCCGGTGTATACTCGGCATTAATGTCTAGAGGCTCATATACAACATGGATGCTCATTGTTATCAGCATAGCAGAACAGATTCTGGTTCTAGGTGGTTGAAGAGCTCGAACATGAGCGTACGATGCCGGGCCAGCCGGATCTTGCTCGAGTTTACGCAGCACTTCGAAGATGAAAAGGGGTATCAGCTGACCAAAGGCGATGGCCAGCCTGCAAAATGAAGGTTGGGTGGAACGAAAAAGGGTCCGAGAGAAAGAAGAAGATGGAAGGGAAGCACAGTGGATAGTGGTGGGAGAGAAAGGAAGTAAGACCAGGGGTACGCCCCATGCGTCAGGGAGAACATATCCACAGAAAGTGACAGAAAGACTAAGTGTAGTATATTGCATACCGACAAGAGCATACTGTCCGCCGGCAGCTATGCAGACTGAAAACGTCTCAAACAAGAGTTTCAACATCACATCGTATCTACTTGAGCTTCGTTATAATTACTATTAAGGAATAGCCCCACCAACATGCCTGGGAGAAAGGGCTCATGATATAAAGTAAGAATAGCACTCACGGCGAGGACTTGCTAGCGGTCAATTCCCAAGGAAGCAACCTTTCCAGCAAACCTGGCCCCAGCACTGCCCCTTTTCTGTAGTTTCTCGCGCTCCTTACTGTCTAAAGAGCTCGGCGCTTGGGGTGTCGGAATGACATGGTCATTCCCTGCGCCTCGAATTGCAGGTACTGAACCGAGAGAATCGGGGGTAGCTTTCCCAGGTGACGGCGCAGCCGGAGGCGAGCCGTAAGCAGATACTCTGGCGGTTCTTTGGCTCAGATATAACTGAGCGGCCGATGAAAGAGGGATGGGAGGAGGTTGCGAGGGAATCTCGGCCCCGTTCTGGACCAGTAGCTCTGCGATAGGGAATGGGATGGCCTTCACTGTAGGCGCCCCGCTGGGTTTGACCGAGAGGTTTGAGGCCGCACCAGGCGATGCTGGATCCGCTGCGGCTAAAGCAAGAAAAATGGCATGAGTGCTGCGAGAGCGATCGGTGATGTTCACATTGGCACGAAGGGCAATTCCATATAGCACGCCCTGAATGTCATTCCTTTTAATCGCAGCCAGAAGAGTCTCGTCTGAGGTAGTGAAACGCGACAAGGGAGATGGAAGTGGCTGAACAAACGCCCGTTCACTGTACTTGGCGGTGATGAACTTGAGCCGCTGCTCACGAGTAGAAGCCGCCACCGGCTTTTGAGCCTGATCGAGGGTTGCCTCCCAAATCATATTGCTGACACGGTTACCAATCTGCAACAGAATTTCAACGATATCATTGGAGAAGGAGTTGACATCCAGTGTAAGCGAACGAATCTTGGAAATGTGAGTTCCAAGTGACCGGTGGATACCACTGCACTCGATGCAGAGCACAATCCCCAGGTTGATTGAGACCCATTCAACCTTGGATGTAGACCCGCAGTCTGCACACCAATTGTTGCCCTGGTCTGCGTCTCGGATGGTTTGAAGCAATTTCGAAGGATTTTCCTCGAAACCGAGACCGTCACCGCGTACGTAGCTTGGTCTCGCACCCACAGTTGTACGACGGGTGACACTGTTGTTAGACCCTGTTGAATGGGAATGTTGGACAGAGTACGAAGTACTCTTTCCAGTGAGTACTGAGCCAATATCGCGGCCAATGGATGTGTTGTCATTGCCGGACGAGACTGGGGGTGGAGACATGCCGCGGCCCTCAACGGCGCTCTGCAGAGCATTGTTGATTGCTCGAATCCAATTGGCCATATCTTCCTCTGATGTTGCTTGATAGATGCGCTTGTACTGCGGTGTGATGACCTCGAAACAGAATCGGCGCTCCGCATTTCGGGCTTCTCGCACGGAAGCCATTCGCAGGTCGATAGGATCCATGTGCAAGTCCAGTTTCTGTTTCCAATTGCTATACTCCGAGAGCTTCCCCTGATCTAATACGATCCAGAACCTAAGAGCCAAAAATCAGTTTGGAAGCCCGAGTTTGCTGGAATAGGGGACAAGCTTACTTATGCCAAGCCTGCTTGTTTATTCCCTTAGGGTCAATATGAGACCCTGGGCGAGACAGTGCCCAGAGTAAGCCTTCCTTCCTCTGCTGGCCTGTGACGGTACCGGTCAGTGATCATAGTAAAACGCGACTCAAAAAAAAACAAAATAAAAAGGGTGCACGCCTCAGAGAGACACCAAAGGATGCATACCGGTTGAATTACTCGTAGAAGCGAGCATCGAGGGACCGCCTGGATGGTTGCCGGAGCTGGTTTGCGGCAAAATCGAAGAACTGTTGCTGATAACACCTCGCAGTTGAGATCCTGTGCTATCTGCACGTCCGAGCTCGATCTCAGACTTTGGGTTGCCGCCACCATTTCCTGAATGTACCGATGATGCACCCGCATTGGCTAGAGAGTCAGGCTCGATATACATGTTGCTGCTTTTCTCCAGATTCCTTCGCTTTTCTTCCCTTTCTGTGCGTTGAAACTGGAATTCCTTATCGGCTTGATTCACCTCATGGATAAGAGCATCAAGCTGAGGAACCATATCATCAACCTGCTTGGCGGCTGCCAGGAAACTCTTCGCCTGAGTGTCTGCATACTTAGTAAGGTGGGAGAGAACCTCCTGCTCCTTACGGCCACCATGGAGATCCTGCATGAAGGACGAGTAGTCGAAACGCTTCAACTCGAAGTTGCGTCGCTTTGCCTGATACTTGGAATCACTTTCCACTCGCTTCTTTTCCTTCAACGAATCCTGGCGTTGACCGAGATAGCGGCTAACATAGGCGTAGTAATCTCTGCTCTCTTCCTCGAATTCCTTCTTCTTCGCCTCCGCCTGTTTGATGTCATTGTTGTATAGCTTAACCAACGGTTCTATGACAAGTCTCTGAAGCTGAATGGTATTCAAGCGTTCGTAATTCAATATTTGCACTGCAGTTCTCTCAAAGTAATGATCAAGCGCAGGCTGTATGGCGTTCGCGTTAGAGGTTGAGGCCTCTTTTAATGCGGAGAGGAAGGCTTCCACAGCTTCGTTACAGGCAGTCTGTGCCTGCTGAGCGGCTTCAGCTTTCTTGAGGACCTTCTTTATCTTAGCACGCATGTTCCCTGTCTTCTGTTCCAGGGCTTTCATCGTAGCCCGGAATAACGGACCATCCTCAACCACGCTCATGTCCTCGCCAGGACGCGAATGAGGAAGGTCGACTTTGACAGGCGGAGGCGGTGCTGAGACGTGGGGCAATGTGGCCGATGTATCACCAGCTTCCGGGGGTGTAACAGGGACATTCTGGGGATTGGAAGCGGCGTCCGCGTCGCTGGAATGGGAGAGAACGGACTGTGACGAGGGAATGCGATTGCGGAAAGGGACGTTAACTTCCAAATTTGGCGAGGAAACTTGCGGGCTTGGAAGCGAGCGTATTGTATTATGCACCCAAAACGAGAAGTGAGCAAGAGTGTTCAACCGATTCGCTCTTTGATCATAATCTAGAAAGCTGCAGCTGTTCCTCCAACCACCTCCCTTATCTTCTACCACTTTGGGGGGCTTCCATTTCCAGGACCAGTCAAACTGAACCGAAGGACTACCCGCGGTAGAGTAGTCTCCGACTAGCTGTACATTTGAATTATTCTGCAAGTTAGGGTTGGCATGGAATTCTCTGGTGATCAAGTTGTCCAGTTCTCGTGAGTTGGGCGCATGCGCAAACGTAAGGCCTGTAAGCACCGTGTCGGCAACTTCGGGCAATGATGTTGAGACGCCGTTGACGGTTGAATTCGCAGCGTTTCCCGTCTGTGTCTGTCTCAAGATGAATGTGAATTTGAAATTCAACTCGTCTTCGTTGTTTAATCGCAGGAGGAAGGTGGGGACAGGGGCAGACGGCGAAACATCGGGATCCTAATAATAATCGACGAGAGCAGTGGTTAGTTACTGACAGGACATGACAGGCGCAAAGCAATGGCGACGGTCTCAGGCGGGATCCAGCTAATTACCTGTATATATTCTATTGGGCTGTCGTCGCCGGTCTCACGCTTGGCAGTATATCTCGTAGCGGGGAACGCGTTCGGAACAAGGCTTAATAGCACGCGCCGTTTGGAATTCGTTATGGTCACGGAAGCGATTGTGACTAGTAGGCGGATATCTGGTTAGCAACGAGAGAAAGAGAAGGAGGAGTCAAGGGCAAAGACAAGAACAGGGACAATATCAAGGGCACGAGCATTTGGCATTAGCGCCGCGTAGACAGAAACTTACACCTTGTCTGATCCTTGAAGTACAAGTTCCCAGAGTCATCTAGACGGCTTCCAACATTGCCCATGGTGAAGTTGCTGGGGCTTTGCTATGGAGATCGAATTACCACGCGGGAGAGAGGTCAGAGACGTGACCGGGGCAGTTGAAGGTCACCATCGACAGTCAGCGTGCCCGCAGTCGGATCAGAGGCCGGCCTGATGAAAATGCGGCGGTAAACGGACCACTCAGTAAACTACTGGTCGTCATCCAGGCACAAATGCGATCGCCAGGGAGGCCGTAGTCAAGCGGTTGGCCGCAGATTGGAGCGCGAAGAGGGTCGGGGAGGAGATTCAGAGGGAGAATATGCGGGAGTCAGGAGGAGGGAGTATCAGGTGGTCGCGGGCGGAAATCAATAAGGGCGACAAGCGGGGGCAGGAACGGGGGAGGTCTCGTTGGCGGTAATTAGCCCGGATGACCCTCAGCGAGAGAATAAATTACTATTAGGATTGGATTGAATTGAATTGGATTTGGATGAAAGTATGTCGATTGATGGAAGAGCAAGGAAGAATGAAGGAGTGAAAGCGACAACGTGTACGATCGCTTTATTACGGCGTCGCAGTAAGAAACATGGTCATCATTATTATTAGTAGCGGGAGGAGGGAAGTAGTTTTGGCTTGTTGACTTAGTTAGCTTTAGTTCACCTTTTGGGGTGTATGTAAGACGGATGAAACAGGCGGGCTGTAGGAGAGAAGACGGAGAGGGAGAGGAGAACTAACTACTAGTAGATAGGATAGTTAGAGCCAGGGGGGCTGAAAATCGGGGCTGGAAAGCCTGAGGTATGTACGTATGTATGTGTGTATGTATGTGTGTATGTATGTATGTATGTATGTATGTATGTATGTAACATCATTGATCCGATCCGAACATCTTTTCTATTCTACATTGCGAAAAAAAAAAACAAAAAAGAGATCTCGTAACTTACTGCATTATACCACATAACTGTGACACCGCCCCGTGTTTAAATGGATGACATTTTCTTAATTTCTTTTCCCCTCTTTTCTGTTCTTCTCGTCCCCTCTTTTTAGTGAATAGATAAGTTTTACTATGTAAACACAACTATAACTATCTACATACGTCCGCGGCGTTACCATCTGACACCTCACAACTAAAATCTATGCTGTGCAGAATACTAGCAGCAGATAGATAACTAGTAGAGAGGACCATGCACTGGGGCCGAGATTGGCTCGTGTTCCTTTCCCCCAACTGTGGGGGTGTGTTGATCTGACTCGTGATCTATTACCTTTTTTACCAACTACATACATTATAAGTAACCTGGTCCACGATACCCACCATCACACAAGCTATAACCTACACACGGGCTCATCTGTCCAGCTCTCATCTTCGTGATATGTAGCCCTACTTTGGGCCACGCATCTATTAACAACCAGTCCCAGGTTTGACGGCTAATGTAGGCAGTGATGAGTATTACAAAAAAGGTAAGAGGCACGGAGACCCCCTCACTCAGCATTATTCCATACCATTTGAATAATAACCCCCGTAATCTGAAGTTCTGGGGCCTATCGACACAAAAACCAGCTGCACCGGCGTATTACAAGTTATCGTCAGTAATGATACTCGGGATGGAGTAAAGGTAAAAAAATAAGAATAGAAAAAGAAAAAATTGAAAAGAAATGAAATTAAAAATAAAATAAAAGGAAAAACGTAAGGTCATCCATGGAAGCATATTAGGACGAGGTCTTTCACCACGTGAGGTAGGGTGAACTCCCTGAGGATATAGGTAAGTTGTTGATGTAGGTAGGATATGGAAGAATTAATAAACTCCACAAAAGCCCAAGTTGAGCATGAATGGAAGCTAAATTCGGCCGTCAGCGAAAGTGGCTGTGCTTTCACCCAAGCCATTCTCCACGGCGGGGTTTGATGCTCCTGAGCTGTGCGCTGCCGCAGTCCTCTGACGCCCAGATCGACTCTCAGTCTCATCTGGATTGCCGTGGTTGTCTGCCTGGGCCCATTTCATCATTTGACCCTTCATGTCTCGCATATCGTGTACCTTTTGCGCAAAGCCGTCCCTATTATGAGGCTGCGACTCACTGCGCTCATTCAACTCGTCTTCATCTGAACTGGATATAGAAAGCGAAGAGCTATTGCTGCGCTGGAGGAAGATCATATGATTGCCCTCGTTCTTCTTGAACTCCCTCTGCTCATTCTTCAGAACCTCCATCCGCTCTGCATCGTTCTTGCAATCAAGTGTAGTCACGTGAAGACCTGGTAGATTGGTGGAGATGAGCTGTTTCAACAGGGGTAGGTATTCGCCATTGGGACGATAAGTTCCGCTATCATTGTCGATGAAAAGTTCATAGTCGGCCGGATCAGTTGATATCTCTGGTTCTACCAGCGACTCATCACCGGAGTAGTGTGTTTCCGAATGCTGAATTGTTTCCGGGTGTCGGGGATGGCGATGCTTCAGGCGACGCAAGAAGAACTCACCAGAGTATGCAATATAAATCGATACATCACTATGCATCGTGTGTTTACTCAGCAAATCAATTCCGAATTCCTTCCCTGTTTCCGTGAAGCGCAATTGCCCGTCTAGGGTGATGACATATGTAAAGATCCTCCCGCCCTGAGCGTAGTGCACAAATTCAAGAAACTTCTGCGTGAGCTCGGTACAAGGGGAAGAAAACTGTCCACTGAGGGTGGTCTTGTCAAAGTTGTAGATACGTTCGTGTTGATGATGCAGCGCTCGATTGAGTATCCTTCCACGAAGACTGTGTGACGTGAACATCCCGGCTACAAACGGCTTGAATTCGACATAACGATGATAGAGCGCGGTAGGCACAGGGCCCTGGAGCTGTATTTGGATTGCCTGAAAACTGAACAGAGAGACTGTAAGCGTATCATTTTCTTCAAAGATTTTAGGGCAGGGCGAGGAACGAACTTATAGCGAGTAATGGTCTTCTTCTCATCACGCTGACTTTGGACCTTATCTTTAGTGCCGGCTATCCTCCCAATGAGCGGAGAAAAATGCTTGAACCAGTAGTTTGGTCCAATGGTATACATATGAGCCCCTTCATCTCCTGGTGTCTTCCCTAAGCACTGAACGCTGATTACTATATGCGACTGCACATCTAGACGTCGCGACGCCAGCGCAGCGATGTTACCGAACAAGTAGACCCGCTTGCTGCCCATGCGCTTCTTCAGGCGAATGCTCTGCTCCTTTATGCCGGGCCACTGTCCATTGACCGAATCCACGTCGACATAAGCGTTACCGAGTTTGTCGTCATGGTCCGCAGCGTCTTCATCGTACACATGACATTTCAGATGGAAACCCGAGGCCGGGACATTGGCAACGATCCATTCACTGTTCCATTCCGGATCTCGATTTTTGCGCACAGTTGGTGTTCGGAAGGACATAACGGGGTCCTGCTTGTGGCGTTGGGGTAGGTCGACAATCAATTGGGCGAGAACATAAGGGTCGGAAGAAAATGTACCAAAGTCTGCGCAAGGAAGGTTGACTCCACGATGGAAGGTGAACTTCAGTGTATAGCCGGGTGGTGCATAGGGGTACGGAGTGCTATCGAACCCCCCAGCAGGCTCTGACCGAGACGGGTCGTCACCACTCAGAGCAGCCTTCATAGCGGCAGCCCGACCCTGCATGTGCTCGGACTTGTCATAGAACTTTGGGCCATATTTATCGACTGGATGCCGTCGCCGTGTTCGCGGTTGGGGGTCTTCCATGATTTGGGGGCCAAGAGTGGTGGCAATGATGGTGGGTGGTCGTTGTCGCTCCTCAGTAGTTACTATGGTTGTTGCCTGTGCGAGGTTTTGCGATCAGCGGACGGGCTGTCTGTCGCGTAGTGGCCAAAGTAAATAGGACGGATATCAGACGATCGGCAGGTTTAAATCGAAATAACCCCCCCTATTGATGTCAGTGATAATGGAGAGCCCCAAGTGATAAAAATTGCGATCCACACATCCCGGACTGGAAATGGGGAAGAGGGAGAGAGATCCAATGGTGCTTGGCATGCCCCCTAGTCTAACCCCACGGGATGGAGATTGGAAGTTATGAGTCTACGCAAGCCTTGCAAGGCTAAGGCAGTTCCGTAGCTTTGGCCGGAGGGCGGCTATGACGATGGCGGAACACGCGGACCCCGACGGATAGGGCAGAGAATAGGAAGGAGAAGAGAGCGCATTCAAAAAGACTAAAAAGCAGGTTGGAGGCCCCTCCATCTATCTCAGAGGCCCTTCAAGTGGTTTGTCTGACATCATTTCAGCGCCCTACAGGGATGTTTGTGCAAGGGAGGTACGTAAGAGGAGACACGAAAAGTACCAACCAGCATGTGGTACGGAGTACTTAGAATAGAACGACGACCACGGAGAGTTCAAGGCAAAATGCTCTGCAGAAGAGATTGTTTGGTTGACCCCCAGGGGGATCCCGAAGCTAAAATTCTCGTACTAAGAAAAGAAGAAAAGAAAAAAAAAAAAAAAAAAAAAATTAATAAAAAAAAACCTACTCGTACTGGAGCCCCTCCTGCTCTTTTTCTTTTTCTTTTTTCTTTACCTGCGTAGAGTATATACCGAGGCTCCAGAGCGTAATGTAGACTTCATTAAGATATGAGATCCGAAATCGTACCTGGACCCTCCCTCCCTCTCTCTCCCGTCTCCCAACTCCAAGAACGCCGTCCCAGTTATTTAAATTCCCAAAAATCACAAAAATAACCCCCGCTATGATCTAGTCACTGCCCTCCACTTATGCCCCTCTGTTCTGTTTTCTTAACTAACTTACTTAGCTATATCTCTTAGGCACTCGTTCCCCTTCTTTTCTCTACCCCTCCTTTGCCTGACCTAACCTAAGATCCTCTGAACAAGAATTGCATGTCTTCCGGGGTAAGCTTCTCTAAAGCTTCTCCTTGATCTTTGTTGATGGTACCGTTGATCAGGTTGGCCTTCTTTTCTTGTAGCAGAACAATTCGAGATTCTACCGAATCTTCAATGCACAAGCGAGTTATGACACAAGGTCGGCGCTGGCCGATGCGATGGCACCGGTCTGCACTCTGCCATTCAGCAGCTGGGTTCCACCACCTAGCACCAGTAGAGTTAGTGAGGGAGACATTCGTTTCCGTTGTTAGTCAATGCCACTTACGGGTCAACGATAAAAACTCTCGAGGCCTCGGTTAGGTTCAAAGCCACACCGCCGGCCTTGAGGGAAACCAGAAACACTTCGACATCGACATTGTTCATAAAGTATTCAATAGAATTTTGGCGTTGTGCTGGCGTCATAGTGCCATCGAGCATGACGGTGTTGAAACCAGCTCGACGTAGACGCCATTCCACAAGTTGTAGCATCGAGGTGAACTGGGAGAAGACAATTGACTTCAGTGTCTGCTTCTTGCTTCTCAATTTATAGAGCTCGTAAACAAGCATCTCAATTTTGGTTGACGATGTCCAGTCCTCCATGCGGATCCGGTTGATGATGGAATTCTGCTTGATGCACTCTTCCTCTTGCTCAATGTCAGGTTGTTCGAAATCGATTGACAAAGGGATGTGGCACCGAGGGCAATCGACGATTGAGCCCACATCGAACGACCTAACATAGTCTTTGGCGCATTTTCGGCAAAACTCATGATGACAACGGGAACGAATTGCTTCTTCCGCCGGTTCGTCGCAAATGCAGCATACAAGTACGTTTTGCCCGGTTTCTGCGTGTTTTTTCAGAATGAGATCTGGGTGATTCGCAACCTGGCGCATCTGCATGATAAGGCCGAAGATGTTTGCGTAGTTGTTCAACATGACACCACGGCTTACATACGTATCAAACTGCCTCGTCGTGTTGGTCATAATGCTCTGGGAGAAATCACGTTCAATCTCTCCAAAGAATTCGTTATGGAGAATAACACTGTAATAACGTTAATATTGTTTTTAGTACACCTAGGCGGAGAGGTTACGAACCGCTTTGGTGGAAGCTCCATCGAAGACGTGTGATCTCGTTTTACTCGCCGTAGCATGATCCTATCAGTTATAAGGCGTAGCTTCGACAATGCTTCCTTGCGGGCGTCCGGATTATCCCTTTCAGTGACTCCCGGAGTGTTAGTGAGGTCTCGGCGTACATTGAAACACAACTTACTAGGATTCAAGATTTCCTGGTTGAATATTGAAACATGGCTGAACCCACTATATAAGTGAAGACATTAGCTACTTGCCCATGGTATGTGATGAAGGACCGTACCTATGCCCGCACTCAGTGCATTTTTTTGCTGCATCCTGTGACCAGTGGAGCTGCTGGCACTGGCACTGCTTGCAAAAGTAGCAGGCAAATGGTCGGACATCCAGAAAGCGAAGGAGAGAAAAGAACTCCCCAATCCGATTCTGGACAGGGGTACCCGACAGACACCATTTGTAGTTTGCTTTCAGTGCAAAGCATGCACGGGCGACACTAGTTGTACGTTGCTACAGACCTCGGCTGTCAATGCTTGATAACACGGCATCGTAAAAGAGAGGCCAACTATACCTTGATGCTATGCGCTTCATCCAGGATCAAGCGGTGATAATGAATAGAATGAATGACGCCTTTCCTGGTTAGCATAGACCGTCTTCTAGGTCAACAACATGACCTCTTACTGTTCTCCTGGATGAGTCCAACATTGCGATTCCACCCTTTCAGCTCTTTGCGGTGAATTGATTCGAGACCAGAATCTGAAATTTATGTCATGTCAGTTCTTAGGGCCCGTGACTCATTTCCTTAGGGCCACCGTACAAGAAATCATTATCACATCATAAGCCAGAAGATCCTCCTTTGTGAGAGTTTTGACCTTCGAATTCGAATTGTGGTAGATGAGCACATTCAATTGGCCGTTCGTATATGCCTAGTCCAATGCATTAGCGATACTACGACTTTAGGATTTTAACGGGCATACTTTGATCTCTGATTGCCATTGCATTAAAGCAACTGGAGGAACAACGACAAGCGATGGCCTACCAATGGGGTAATCAGACATAAGAAGGGACACGGCCTGGATTGTTTTGCCCATGCCCATCTCGTCTCCCAGCAATCCTCCTTTGTAATGTGATTTTTCTTGTTGAATCATCCAACTCAGGCCTTCAAGCTGGAATGACTTGAGTGTTCTCGATATACCCTGAGGCTGCTCTGCCCTTACCGGCTTTATCGGAGGAGTGTTTTGCAAATCATCCCACATTGTGATGACGCATGGGTGCTGCCTTTCGAGTTTTTGTCTTTCTCTAAGAGCCTGCATGCTTCGTCAGACATAGCGCAAGATAGCCCAAGATGAGAAACATACACGGTACCCCCTCCTTTCCGTCTCTGCTGGCTCTGAGCGAGAATTTCTGCCCGCTCTGCGTGGAATCCCTCGTGTGGCGGCTCCGCCTCTAGCATTCCGCGTATTTCCAATCCTGGAGCGCCTTCGTGGGATTAGAAGTTCATCCTCATTTGAGGAAGATACAGAAGAGACCGATTCAATGTCAGTTAGCTGATCGTCGTCTGATCCGCTATCGTCCATATCAATAGGGGATATCTGGCGAAGACTACTCTTGTTAGCTGATCGAAGAGACCTTCTTACCCCGTGCGAAGAAATCGGTCCTTTAAATAGATCCTCATATGCATCGTGGTCAGAATCGAGCCCGATGACACTATCTTCTTCAGCCGAGTCTTTCATTCTGGATTGAAGCCGTCTCGAAGTCCTTCGTAACTTAAAAGGTGGTTCTTGATATTCTTGAGCTTGAAGATGCTGGGCCAATACTGCATCAGAATCTTGCAATGTGGGATGGCTTATGGATAGTGCTGCTGGTGACCTCTTTGATCCTCGTGGTGCATGTAAAGACATAGCACTCGATCGTAATTCCTGGGCACGTGTAGAGGCGCTAACCCTCTTTCTCGGTCGATTTGTATCTGATTCCACAGGTGTGACGGCTATACTGGTTGCTGGAGTACTGTATGCAGGTGTTATATCCTCATCGCCAGATACATCTTCGGTTGGAAGAGGAGAAACAGAGGAAGATGACACCGGAGGTCTCCTCAAAGGTATTGCAACTTCGATAGAGTATGGTCTATTCCTATAAGACATCCCTTCTTCCACCGTAGGCTTCCGGCCTATGGCATCACCTGCATTTTCTGAAATGTTCGGGGTCCCAGCATAAGCTGCTGAGGATGCTCTAGCGAGTCTCGCAGAGGTTCGTCTAGGTACGGACGAGGTATCTGGTAGTGCTCAAAATGTCAGTCATTGCTAATGAAAATTCCGATTGATTTGTGATATTCTCATTTGGGGAATGTAAATATTTCTTTTTAGCGTCGTTGTGCCTTTGGGAGACGACAAAGAGACCTCACCGGCTAGTGGAGTGATTCCCCTCCTCGTATTTGATGATTTCCTCTCCATTACGGTGAACCAAGTGACCGAATGTTTGTGAGGGCTAACCACTATGAGCTGGAGATTACTGGATGGTTGTCACAGATGTATCTGGCGAAAAGTGAGGCAAACGGTCGATGCAGCGCCACCCGGGGATGTCTAGCTAGGGGAGGTTGTGTACTCCGTACCTTGGCCGCGGTTATCGGAATAAAGCGCCAGGATGATGGGACTTTGGGGCGAGGGAAAAAATTTTCTTTGCTCCCAAAAAAGGTTTCACTGCATCGATCTAGCCATTTGATGGAGCAACTTTAGGCACCAAATCATCGTTTTGCTGACTGTTGCCTGGCCTCAATCTGGCTTTTAAATTTAATTGTTATCTTTCCCCCTTGGCCGAACACGAAGCCGATAAGCCCGCCCGTCGACTTCTCGCGTTAAGTGGAACGCGAAATCACCACGGGTTCCTGTGACCTGCAAGTGTCGCCACCTTGACGCCTTCCAGTAAAAGATTCGCTTCATCAGCTATAATCATTTACGATTTGATATCATATCAAGTCTGTCAAAAATGTTTGTGTTTCGATTCAGCGTTGAAGATATATATATCGGTCATTGACAACAGAATTTCAGGGCAAACAGAAGGCAAACAAGGAATCAGATCAGGGGCCCGTATGTTCTCGATAGATTCTATCTTTCCCCTGTCATCATCCACAGCCTTTACTAATGCCACTACTATTTAGGCACTCTGCCTTGACCGATTTCTTGGCTGTAAGTGAACAGTTCCTGCCTGTTCCTGCTTCCGCTGTTCCAC